AGAATGCTAGGTAAGTAACAGGAGAACTTATCTAGATGGAAAATCCAACCACCCAAGCTGTTTGTGTAAGAAGCAGATGAGTATGGTATGACACCCCCATTCAGAAGGAGCTAACCGAAGCCAGATGTCCAAGTAGTGGTATTAGTAAAATCCCCCAAAATGTGGAAGTCGGGCAAAATGCAGACCACTTGACAAAAGACATACAGAACCGAAACAAGTCTGAAAGGCAAGGCATGAAACTTGTATAAATCACGTGATGAGAAAACCTAAGATAGCATCTCGAGAAATGAAAACTAAGAATGTATACCATGGGCATTCTCAGGCCTGCAGAAATTGCCCACCTGAGTGTGATGAAAGACTACATATTAAAAATGGGGAAGAACCAAGAAGTGATTGAGGTGGGACCTATTGCTTACAACTCTAATCAGCATCGAGCATACAGGTACAACAGGTAAAGGACAAGAAGGTGCTGGACATAGAACATGAATAAAGATGGCAATGACTCAGAATGAAACAAAAGAGCAACGAAATAAACATATGTACAAGATGTCATCTGTTGAAGAAACGAAGACTACTGAAAATAACAGACATTTGTTAAGCCTAAGTGAAATGTACTGGACTAAGTACATCACTAAGCTCTAATTTAAAAACCCTAACCTAACAATAATATGCACAATATTGGGAGAAGTTTGTATGGACCCCAGCTCCAAACGTCCACACAAATAAAGTTAATATGAAGAAGTATAAAACATAAATAATAACAAAAATGAAATAGACATTATATTATAAAATTAAGTAAGTGTGTATTGACAATAACATATGTATGAGATGTGATGTTTTGAAGAAAAACAATATAGTTAACCTAATTTATGATATACTAGTAAGATGAATCCTAAAATAACAAAGATCCATGTTAAGTGTAATCTAACATTATAGGACAAAGGATACAACAAAGCCCAAATTTCAAACCTGAACTTGCCTATGAATATTGACCAATCTAACTAAACTTATGTCATTAAATCCAAATAAGTACAGATAATAATATTAACGGTAAATATATTCAAAAACCATAACAGTATAACGCCTTATATTTCCAAAGTCAGGGGACTGTATTTCTAAATGTGTGGGCCCCCAAATTCGAGTTGAGGCCCGATGAAGGTCAGCTCATTGGACGATCAATCTCCCAATGAAGTAAAGCTGATAATTTCCCAGTTGAGGACTGCCACCTGATACCTGTGTAAATGTGCTGAGAGAAGATATAACCACCAAAGTGGTAACTTCAAATTTGAAATTCATATTCAAAATGAATAACCATAACCAAACACAACTATGTTGGCAGAAAAAAAATAAAAAGTAGAAAAAAATTTGTAATGAAACATTAAGTTCTACAACTGGGAAGAAATATAAAATAATTCCATTTCCGAATAAATTACAAACATCACTATTATATAATAAATAGTAAACTTGGTGAGAGAAATTGATATAAAGATACAAAAACAAATCTAAATGTCTTAACATAAGCACTGCCAAATGAGAAGTGCTAGTTACGTAGAATAGCATAGAGGGAGTCATATAGGTTACTTGGATGTGTGGAAGTTTGTCGCATGATAATTTGTAAGCAAGAATCAGTTAAACCATGTGAATTGAGGGGTGCAAAGGAGAGAAAGGCTTGTGGCATGGGAAAAAAATTTAGCAAACAGAGAGCAGTATTGAATGAGAATGGCTACGTATGTGAGCGAAAGTAAAGTACCTTTACGGATCTCCATCCATATTATGTTCACCATATTCATTGCTAACACTGTTTTGTTCAATCCATAGCTCATCACGTTGGCTGGTAGTAGTAGTCAGAACCCTATCTATATAAGTCACTTGTTACAACAACAATTGTTATGGTGTGAATGCCTTTTTTCTTGCTGACAAAGCATGATTATAATTATTTTACTTATCATTAGACATCAGTATTAGGCCTATTCTAGCATTGTGATAATCAATCAAATCTTGTGCAATGTAACACATGCATTGTATGGTGAACACCACTTTATAGCTTGGAAAGCAAGGATTGTTACTTCCTTTCAGTCAATGGCTGTCTTGGCTATTTTGTCAAGGCTAATCCTCACCATATTGATTGGTAGTTTATTGGTGATGGTTCCATGAACCATCAAAGCTGTCCTCAATCTCTATGTCTGGTATTTCCTCATCTGATTCATCCTGAACAATCAGGTGTGAACTTTCAGCTTTTTCCTCTACAACTTTAGTGTCAGAGTGAGATAAAGCAGTGTTTTAGTCCTCATATGGTTTGACTATCTCCTTTTCTGATTCTTGGCTTAGCCAGTTCACCAGAGCTTTAATGGTTATGTACAGATGTAGCTGGTCAATGTGTGCTTTGTGGTTTTGCATGCCTCCTTTCTGTTGTAAGTTATATGTCAGATGCCTAACTCAGTGGAATAAAAGTTGAGGTCATGTCCAGACCAAAGCCACACCCATGCTCTACTTTGGTACATATGTTTCTTCATTGTGTAATCTCTTCTGTCATATAGTAGTCTTTCCTAGCTAATGGCATGCAAACTGATGCTTGTAAAGTAACATGACCTTAGCATTGTTGGATTTCCACTCTAGGTGGAGAGCCATACATCATTTTTACAGGGAGAAAAACAAATCCTGAGAATATTCACCAAATAACCTGCTGATTTCTATTCAGTTTCATAGAATGCAATCATGAGACAGGGTGTTTGTCTCAAGTCAGATAACCAAACTTAACAAGCATATGCTTGATAGTTTATATCACCTGTTTCACTAAACTATGAGATTGGGATTGTCTGTGCTAGACAATACCGATGAAAAGAAGGAATTAATTTTGAGAACAAGTGTTTATGAGAAGTTACTTCACAAGGAGGCTGTGGCACCCTCCCATTGGTGAAAGGCTATTGTCATATGGTGATTTCATCATGCACTAGCACAGTTCATGCTAAACACATGATTTTTATGTGGGAGTTAGCTCAAGGCTAGTGGCCTATATATATCACAAGCAGATGCACGAAGAATGAAGCTATTCTGTGTGAGGAGGTGAGGTATCATCTTGGAAAATACAGCTAAATATGTACACTCTGGAGCAAGAAACATCCTACCAAAACTTTTACACACACTAATACAAACAAATGCTTTACAATTCCTTATACAATATTGATAAGATTTTAAATCCAGAACCTACAGGGTTTGAATATATATATATATATATGTATAATAAAAGACATGAACTTCACAAACATTCATATTAAAAAAGTTTGTATATCAGGATTTATAAAATTCCAATACTATATAAAATATAAAAATATAACATAAACAAGATTTAGCTGAAAGGTTTCATTATCACCATAATCCAATGGACAATAATAATTAAATCATAATCTAGAAATCTTTTTACATATTACAATTTTAAATAGCCTAAAACTGAGTTTAATTGTAATTTAGATTTAGTAGTTAAGTAAATGCTGGTATATATCCAATTAATGATGTTTGCCAACAAGATTGATACACACAGTTTTCTTTGTTTTATACAAATATGTTTTAATAAAAACAATAATACAATTTACAATAACAGATATTACAAACAATAATTTATATACAAAAGTTTTACAAACTTATAAGCAATACAATGTCTTCTTTCTAGTCTGGAACTTCGTTGATGTCTTATCAAGGGTTCACGATGAGAGAGTTAATTTTGAGTTGATGTAGGCACAATTCACTTAATAGGGAGCTAGCTAGCTCTGTGGTCTTCACTGATCACACGCCGATTACAGGTCGAGTTTCCACTGTTGAAGTTAGGTACTGTTTTTGTAAAAGTTCTAATGTCAACGTGAATCCACTGAAGTTGAATGATTTCTAATGTTCAAAATTTATGAACATTTTTGGTCAATATATCTGAAGTTCTTGATTAATAAGCTTATGAAGTTTATAGTACACCAATTACAGCAACCTAATAATATATATATATATTGTTTTTTGGCACAACGCGTTGGTTATATTTATATGTAGGTGGATAGTTTCTCAAAATTTCAGTTTTACATAACAATACTGATGCTAAAAACATAAATAATATTCAATGTTAAACTGGTACACAATTAAATTCTGCACCAGTTTAACGTTGATTATTATTTATGTTTTTAACTTTATACACAAGTGCCAAAATTCTATAATTATGTGTCTAGAAACAGGACCCATGGCAATTTTAATTGCGTATCAGTTTAATGTTGAATATTATCTATTTATGTTTTTAACTTTATACACAAGTGCCAAAATACTATAAATACTGATGCTAACACTGGCGTTTACATAAACACATATATTGTTGATTCTTACACTTGAGAATCTTCTAAAACTTTAGGGAATAGGCAGGAGTTTTGCAATACATATTTAACAGTATACATTTCTAAATATAAATTTAATTTAAACAAACATTGATATTAGAATAAATGTATAATAATAAAGCCATCACAATCCATCCCAACAAAAACATGAAGAGTATACTAAAACATAAAGATGCATTGAATATGTATAAACAAAAAACACAGAAACTAAGAAACAAAAGTAGCCAGGTGGGATATTGCCTCATACAGTGGAAATGCAACTGGTTGAAGCAGAATGCACGAAGAACATCTGGACAGAGGGTGTATGACATACAATTAATCACATCAAATAATCATGTGAAAAATATTAAGCAGAAAATGCAATATCAAGTATTCAGGAGGAAATACAATTAACAAGATCAATTTTTAAAACAAATCGGCATATATCATGGTTCACATAATAAATACCAAAGTTTATAAATAGTAGACAACTCTATAAGAACTTTTCTGAGCGTACTTATGTACCTTAATATAATTTAGGGATCTTACAATCAATTTCAGTTGAGTGCAAAAGATTGTAAATTAGAAAGTAATAAAAATTTATATCATTGCCCTACTCATGATGTTATGGATTATGAAATAAACTTCAGAACTTACAAATGAGCAGGTGACCCCACAACCACTTTCCATACTAATACTCCACTCTGGACCTGTGGAAATTCTGGATTTCGTTGCAGAAGCTCAAGAATAATGCTTGGTGTTAGAGTTAACATGGTAATCCCAATGTAATACTTGTGCTCTTGTTCATTCCTCTTGCTAGAATGGTAATTAAACTGGCCTTGGAACACAAACATAAGTTTATAGTTAGAATCAGTGCTGTAAAATTAATTATTTCCCAAAACAATAAAAATGCAAGGAACAAAAACTGCTACAAATATTACAAATTTTAGATCATAATTTTTGAAAAATGTTATACATCAATTAGTTAAGTAAATAATACTTAATAAAATGAAAGTAACCATAAGCACAACTAAGAGTTTATTACTGAGGACATGTTAATATAATGACACCTAAAAAAAAAAGCAGATATATCCTTAATATCAAAGATGTGGTAATACATAGAACAAACCTTCATGCTAACCTTGTGTCTAAAAATATGGATTCAATACACTAACAAACACATTAATTTGTGTATCTATTACACTTTACAAGAACCATTCCATCCAAACTTATTCACTTCTGTTTACAAAGTTGTCAAAGAATACTAGAAAAGATACCTAATAAACTTTTAAAATATAAAAAGCTTTGGAGATAGCAGTGTCTGATGCTTGAGTAACAAGATTTTAAAAGGGTATAATAGTATTAGAACCATATCTAATAAAAGCCTTTAACTATACACATACCAAATACATTAGGTCACTTTAAATAACTTGAGGACATAATGAGTATTAACAGGACTATAAATGTCCTTTTAGCATATTGTGAAATGTGTGTGCATGCATAAAAACACACCTCTATAAAAACATGATATTCACCCTGATGTCAAAGTAAGAAAAGTCCAAACCTAGCAAGACACAAAAGTGCACTTATCACACACATACAAAACTGATTATATATCACATACAAAATCACACAGAAATAGACTTAGTTAAGAAAATATCAAACCTAGCACAATGTGCACAAATGTATCCACATCACATATACAAATTAATTTTCTCTCTCTCTCTCACACACACACACATTTTCACAAAAGCAAATTTAGCTAAAGAAAAGCCCAAATCTTACAAAACATACACAATTACTTATGCCACATGTACATGATGAATTGCATACCCCCCCCGACACAGAAATAAGCTTAGTTAAGAAAAGTACAAACCTTGCAAAACATTCACAAGTGCATGCATATCAAATATACCAATGCATTTCATATCACACAAAAATGCAGAAAGAAACTTAATTAAGATATGATCAAACCCAGCAAAACATACACAAGTTCAATCACATTATGTATACACAATTTTATATCACACACACAAACACATATATAGAAAATAATCTTAGTTAAGAAAAAGCACAAACCTAGTGAAAGATACACAATGCACTCACATCACATATACAATCAATTTTATATTATACAAACGCACATACATATGCAAAAAATAAGTTTGGTGAAGAATAGTGCAAACCTAGCAAACATCCATAAGTGCACTCGCATCGCATGTGCACAATGCATTTTATATCATACACAGAAAACAAGATTAATACAATTCAACTGTGAAATGAAATTGTTCTAAATAAACTTACCCTGAAATTTTAACAAATTTATAAAGGGTACAAAACATGGTTAAATATTCAATTATCAAATAACAAAACTGGACATTTTAGAATTAGATTTATGTTATTTTGAAGAGAGAAAAAAAAAAAGAGTTCTATACAACTATTTGCATATTTTATGAGTGGTCAAGCATGTTTCTATTCACTGTAGACTTTAGATTACATTAATAAATATGTTTGATTTTTTAGTCCATACAACTACCATATTTGGCTAAGAACCTAGTACAACATAAGATATGTCATGGATGATATGTGTACTGAAACAGTGTTCTGTGAAATCCATAAATTTGAAAACTGTCAGTGGTAAAAATATGTTTACTGAAGCCTTATGTGCACTTACAAATGGCTGGATGCTACTTAAATGTCATATTACAAAGCAACTTTAACAGTGCATAACTTATTATGGCCTATGGTCTTTTCACTAGACTTGTTTTTAATATACTTTTACTGCTTTTAAATCATTTGTATGATAAAAATATCAAAACAAGATTTTATGACTGTTTGTAATAGACTCATTCACACTGGATGGTCTAAGTAACATTATTTCTGCTAAAAAAAAACAAAGAGTATTTCTAAACAGTTCATAATTTGACTTATAAGGTCCTTTTTTATCCATACTTTATAAATTAAATCAAACACTTAGAAATACAATTGAAGTTACAACCTTACAAAGTAGGAAGTTTCATAACTGGCTTTTTTTTTCTTATCAAGTGTTGTGTGAAAGTCTTTGTCTATCTTTTAATTCTGTACTATTACCACTCTTTATAGCTGGTGGATAAATGAAATAAACATGTAGACTAAGAAATTTCATGCATGGTCTGATATATGACATAGTAACATGGTATTTATTATAATGACCATAGTATCTAAAGATGGAGTAGATTTGTAAATATTGTAAATTTGGGCAAAAGTCAATTTGATAGTATGTTGTTTGTTATTGATCAATTTCACAAAGTTGCACAGAGCTGGTAGTATATGTTTAATATTCCAAAAATTCTCTTCACACATGTGTATACTTATTAGGCTCTTGATTAGTTTCAAAGTAATGTTTAAAAATTACAGCATAGGCAACTGGCATGTTATTACCGATGAAACACACAGGATTTTTTTTTTCACAGTGTTTTTGTAACTTTTCAACTAGATATATGCATGAGAGTTCTCACTGAATTCTACAGTGATGTAGTCTCTGCTAAAAAAAAAGTTACATATTTCAGAATCAATAACCATCTATTGGAATATACAAGCACATAAGAAAACATCTTGTGTAAAAGCCAAGGAATTATCACCCCATAACCTCTACAGTAATTCAATAATAAGTTTTGAATGAGCAAAAAGAACATTAAAAGGTGGTGTAGTAATATTTCCAACAGCCATGGAAAAGAAGTTCAAAGGATTCTGATACGTGGAAATTATGGGTTTTAAAGCTAAATTTATATTTCTTTAGCAGACATAAAATTCAGGTGCTTTTGCAGTTACTTAACTGGTGGGAAGAGATAGTTGTATTTTTTTCAATTAAATCCTTCGAAATGTTTTTAGTAGTACTTTAAAATTTTTGGGTAATATTGTTATTCAATTGCTCGTAAGTTGTTCCATTCTTTAAATAGTTTAATTTCTCTAGTGAATATAGAGGCATAAAAGACTTTTAATACTAGTAGTAAATGACCTTATAAGACCAAATTTGATATTTTTCTTCTTTGATTTAACACTCAATGTTTCAATTTACACTTTCTTCAGCATTCCACTAAAACACAAAACTGTAACTGACAGTACAAAGCTTCAATCAGTTTAAGTAATAATTTCTAATTGAATCTACAGCATGCATTTGAAATGTTAAGAAGTTAAGCTTTTTGTTGAAAGAATTATATTGTTGAAATAGTAGATTGCTACCTGTAGTAAACAAAAGTTATATCTAAATTACAGACTGAAATTTTAAAAGTTCTGATGAAAAACTAAAATAATTATAATTATAAGTGCTATCTTTTGTCTCTGTTCATCAGTGTCATAGTTGTTAAATGAGAAGAGCTTCTTTAAATTTTCTATCAGAGTACTTAGTGATTTTGGTAAAAAATTTTCCAGAGAATGGTGAATTCATGTTCTTCTTGGTTTATCTGTGTTTTGTTTTCATGTTGGAGGTGCAATGCTAATTAAACCAAGAAGAAAAAAAGACAATTTTCCAAAGACACCACAAAAAATGATTATTTTAACAGTACTTCTAATTGAAAAAAGTATTTCCAAGAAAATAATGTCCATAATCAGAAAATCTGAACTGCTGATTAAAGTTATAGAACAGCCATGTCATCCTTCAAAAGCCAATTTGCTAAATCTCAGTACACTACCCTGCAATGTAATAAAGCGAACTGTCTTACAAAAATGTATTTGCAGTCTAAAGATGGGTGTCTTGCCTCAATGTTGTTTACCAACTTACATGTAACATCTGTAATTGTATGTACATTGGTGAAACTGGAAGAACCCTACACACAAGGATAGAAGAACATACTGACTTTCTTTATGAAAAACAACATAAGAGAATTACAGTTTGCAGCTATAATAAAACATATAAGTATAGTTACTATTATTTTAGTTTTTTAATCTTAACTTTTCTTATTTTCAATCTGTAATTTAGATAGAACTTTTGCTTACTAAAGGTAGTAATTTATTTTTTCAACAATAAGCTTGACTATTTAACATGTCAAATGCATGCTGGAGAAACACACCCAAAGAAGTTGTAAAGAGAAGCGTTGAGTGTTCAATCAAAGAAGGAAAATAAATTTGGTGTTATAGGGTTGTCTATTACTAGTATAAAGGCATTTTAATTTGTTTACACTTAAGTTGAAGTTTTATTGCAAAAAGTTTTACATTTATCTTTCGCAGTTGCATTTTCAGCTAATTATTCATTTTAACATGTATTTGATTACAAGTAATAGTCTTAGAGCTATGTTTGAAGGTTTGTTTGACAGCCAGGAATTTAAAGATAGTTCTAAACATTCAAAGAATTGTTGTGTGGCCAGCAGTAGACTAACAGGAGGGTGGATGGGGCTGTTGCCCATGAGTCCTGAAGCAAATGGGGCCCCAAACATTTTAGGCTAGGGTACTGTATATAAAGAGTGATTAGAGGTCAGTACAATTTCAGAGTGCTGTACAAGACACATATTTTATAAATTAAAAGTTTTAGCGAGCTCTGCAACAAATACTTCATTTATAACATAGTTTTCCCAATTTCCATTATAGACAGTGAAACAATAAACAGTGCAACTTATGTGAGGCAGTAGAAATTTACCACTTCATTCAGTGTTATGCTGATGCAGGTAGGCTAAACTTAAGTCATGGCTGAAAAATGTCTAGTTATGCCACTTTTTAATGTGGCTTGAATGTAGCCTAACTAAAGATAACACTAGCTTAGTTAGCTTACAGTTGACCTTACTTTTAAGCTAAGTTAGGAGTGAAGGGCCTATGCTTTGTTAGCCTACCATAGGTTTAAGAAGGATTTTTCTAAACGTTACACCTGTTGAAAATTTAAGTCAGTTGGTATGTCATATTATTTTTATAATAGTGTAGTAAAAAATGAGTAAACATAGAAGTAAGTAATGGAAAATGCACGACAAAAATTTATCAAATGAACTATCTTAATTATATGTTTAATTATGGATACTCTGACACACATAGCATGGCTTTCAATGAAGTGTTATAGTCTGCTGCTTCAATTAATTTAAACAATATTGCATAATTATAAATGAAAAAAGATAATTAAGTTCTTGTAAAGATGCTAAGCACTCTGTGATTGTGCAAGATAGCCATAACAGTCTTTGTCTTATCTCAATTGAAAATGACATTCTGCAAAGGATTTCCTTTTAGTTCATACACAGAAGTTTCACTGAAAAAAGGAAACAAGTTAGTGTATAATAATCAATAATATGCCCTTTTCATTAATGTGTTTTGTTGAAAAAGGAAGAATTATTAAAACTGGAAATAAGTTTTAAAAATATATTTTTATTTAAATTGGGAGTGCAATTTAAAATTTTATTATAGATATGAATAAATAATTTTTTGAGCAAGATTTATGTTGTTAAAATAGGATTAACAACTGAAAATGTATGTATGCAAAAAAAACGGAATATAATTATAAATATACACACATCTGTAGACTTAGGTGTATATTTAACTGTGAAGTAATGCTTGTCTTATACAACAAAAATAACATGCATGAAGGAGCCCCATAATATTCACTGTCCTGGGGCCCCGAGGTGTCTTAATCCTCCACTGTATGAGGCATTGAACAATTGAATAGTAATCATACATTAATTGTTACTCACACAGAAAATTTGATCTTTCAAGTTGTATAATGCCCCTTACTGGAACAAAAGTTACTTTATTGAAAACATACACTCACTATCAAAATATTATATGTAGCAACTCCTTCTGTGCAGTGAAGCAGACCATTAATGAAGCACAGGGAGGTACATTTAGCCACCTCACTGTTTCAATAAAATGTAATAAATGCTTTCAGTATACAATAATAAGAGAAGTGTAATGGTAGAGTAAGTTATGAAGCATAAAAAATATGCACTAATAACTTAATGTTGAAAAAGGAGTGTCAGTGTAACTCTACACTTCCCTTCTCTCCCTGAGGCATATATTTAATTAATCATCTATGTTGTTAAAAAATAACTGACTGCTAATAACTCTCCCTCTTGTAACTTTTGTTATAGTTGGGGAACCATATATATTTTCTAATCAAGCCTTAACACTACTCTGTTCTGTTTTGCTGTTTATTTAGTATTATGTTTATTAGATATGTTTAATTAATCAAGAATTTTATGTTAAAAATACTGAATGTTAAACTACTTTGAATGGTGACTGTTGAATAAAGATGTTTTACTTAAGTCAGTTGTAGTTCTTTTAATTGGTAACAAGGTTTCTTTCGGCGCAATCTTACAATATGTTGCTGTGTGAGTATTGCATATGGCATCAAATGTGTATAAATAAGCATGCTTTTTTAAAATATAAAAACATGATTACTATTGTATATAATGTTTTATTTCATTTATATGTATTATGTTATAAAAAAAAAGGTTTTCAATCAAATGAACTAGTAGTAAATTATCTAATTGTTTTTTTTTGTTTTGTTTTTATCTTTAAGCTTAAAACTGAAAAAACAGATTTAGGAAAATCAAAGGGTAAACAAATGAAATTGAAGTTCAACATCTTATTACTAATACATATTGTCATTTTCACATTTCGGATTATACTTTTCAAAAGATCACTTCCATAATTAAACCAAAAACAGCAAAATAAGAACCTTTATAAGACATAGATATGTAACACTTGGAGTGATTAATTATCATGAAGAATAAAATTATTATTTAACTGCATTGTTTTATTTGGAGGGACTCAAGAGTACCTTTTTATTTCTTACCAAATAATGTGAAAGACTGTCAACAGATGAACGTATATCCTTGAAAACAAAGTATTGTTTTTCTGAACATATATATTACATTAAAAAATATATTTAGTTACTTTTTTAATTATATTCTCTAATGAATGATACATACAATATTTTTTATTCCTCTTTTAAAGGTTGATTGATAATTTTAGTCTAAAAAGTGCTTTTGTATATTATCTCTGTTTATACAACATCCAGGATAAACAAGTTTTTTTTCCAGGATCACAACCAGGAAACAATGATTTATCAATAGTTTTAAAAAATCACTTTGTGTTGTATTCAAATAAGATACATTGGAAACCTTTTTTTTCTTCTTGGGTATGTTTAAGAAATTCTGCAGCATAGTCAGATGGAATGGCAAATGATATTCCTGCTGTAACCTTCATATTACAGATTCCAACAACCACACCATCCTGCAAAAATGCATACACAAAACAATCACCACTGAAAAAACTGTATATAAAATTAACAATTTACAATGTAATATTCAGTTTACTAAAAATCAGTATTTTTTAAATTAATATTTTGTTTACACCTATTATAAAAAAAGACCAATGATGGCTTTATTTTTGAGTTAAGAAACTTTTAATAATTGATAGCTTATCAAGAAATTGATATTAATATATCAACCTTCCATAACTAGATTATGGTACACTACAATGGGCTTATAATACATACAAGAGCACTGATTTACAGATGTATTATTTGATTACAATATTGAAGTCTTAAATTAAGCATACATACATATTAACTACCTACAATATTTAATCGAGTCTTTAACTAAACAGATATTGCCTAGCCTGATATTTACTAGTGACTTAAATTACACCTATATTACTCATTTCAACATGTAACAGAATCCAAAACCACACATATACAAGTACACTTTACTTACCAGATTTACCAAAGGACCTCCTGAGTTGCCAAAGTTAATAGCAGCATCAGTTTGGATATAATCCATTTCCTTATGGTGTAAGCCAAGTTCTTTGCTGGCTCGATGAACTGAACTAATTACTCCTGCTGTAATGGTGTTACTCAGAGAAAATGGACTTCCCACAGCTACCACCCACTCACCTGGACGTAGCTTAAGAGACTGTCCTAGTTCTAAGGTTGGTAGATCAATCTAAAAATTAAATAAAACTTCACAGGTTTAACACATGTATGCCAGTCACCTGATTTGAAAGAAGTCTTAACATTACAAAAAAACATAAGAATCAAATATATCTCATTTGAAGTTATGATGCAAATGCCAAAAACTGGTGAAAGGTTAGAGACCAATAAGGCCTAAACTGTGTGATAAAAATTATAAAAGGTGCAAACGTTTTTTTCCACACATTCCTCTTAATTTGTCCATTTTGAATTCAAAATCAGAAGCATATAAAGTTAACATTTTCCTTACCTGAAAATGCATTTCAGATAGTTATTCACCCCTTTACAACAAAGACCTGCTACCTTGTGTCACTGCAGTGAATATTTTTGTGCATGCCACAAGCCTTGAATGAAGCTCCAACCCCTATACATATTAATGTGTGTTGCTCCAGCCCAGGGGTTGGCAACCTTCAAAGAAGAGCCATTTTTTTGTTGTTGTCTAAGACCAAAATGTTTCAAGAGATGCAGCAACATGTCCTCAGTTTAACTTCCAGGCTAACGTTACACTGCACTTTCAACTGCCTGATGCCTTGGCACATCAGCTTACATTTCACATTTAAATTCTAATTGATTGATGATGTGCTGGCAATAAAGGCTTTGGAATTTGAATGTAATATGGAAGCAGATGTGAGGTGCAACTGTATCCTGTTTCTTTTATTTACAAAAATAAAAAATGCTCAAAGAAATAAAACAAATCTGATATTATCATTCCATCTGTATGCCTGATTGAGTCTTAAATTTCTTTATTCTAACAATTGAAAATTTACACTGTTTATTTTTTGGGGGTGTATTTATAAAGAACCACATGTAATTATGCAAAGAGTCACATGCAGTTTGTGAGCCATGGGCTGCTGACCCCTGCTCCAGCCCATGATGTAATCATCATTAGATTATAGCTCTCCACCAATAGGAGGGCAATACATCCTTTATGCACAGTAATCCTCATAAGAACTAGCATTTGAACAAAAGCTCATTATTGGTTGTGCAAAATAAATACACTGGAAGTGGGGAGGAAGGGAAGGAGGTTGTGCAGAGAGGTGAGTATTTATCTGAAATACACTTTCAGGTAAGGAAAATGTGAACTTTACAAATGTTTACTTACTTCTCTGCATAACAAAAAGCTAGAATTAAACATTGAAAAGATGGTGGAGAGGCCTGTGCAGATAAAAAAATTACAAAAATGAGCTTCTTTCAGAAAACATAGTGTCAGAAAAGGATGATCCATGGAGCATGACATCCATTAAGGGGAGGTAGCCTGGTTGGGCATCTCTTGAAGGGAGACCACATCCAGCTCAAACAGGGAATACTCCTCACCCAATAGAGATGGTAAAGCAAAAGATGTTCCCCAAAGAATCTTTTGTGTGTTGCTAAAGTGTCACATAGGTAGATAGAATGGAAGATTGTTCAACTTGCAAGCAATTGGCTAAGCTTGAGTGTGAAGTGTGGCTAGGGCAATAATTCAGGCCATTCTAAATTGGAGAAATACTTATACGAGATACAAGAATAACAAGGAGTAGCGAGAAGATATTCCAAACCTGCATCCTGAGGAGAACACATGACCCATCTGACTGGTCTAACTACCAGGAATGGTGTGGTTCATAGTGTTGTTGGGTGGCCTGTACTACACTTCCAAGCAACACCCTAGCTTACTTTCCATCGAGGAGTATGTCCTCTTTGTCTCATACCAGTGGGATTACATTAACCCAACTGGAATTTTTCCATACTGACATCCCCAGTGGATTGGAACTGGGGAAGCAACGGTTCTCCCTTACTCTACAAGAAGAGAATGGGAAAGGGGAATCTGCATGGGGGAGAATGCCAGAGAGGTTCTTGGACTGAACAGGAAATAACATGTCTTCATAATGTCCCACAATGATAGGCTGTGCAGTGGGTTAGCACAAATATGTACAGCAGGTACTAGCCAGGTGTGATGGTAGTCACATATCTCATGCTGCCAGTTTTTTTTACCTTTGAAGTATGGCCTGAAAGAAAACATATATATATGTATATATATATACACACACACACACACACACACACACATATAGCCAAAGCAGTCTTGCAGAAAACCCCATCTCGACAGTGAGCATTGATCACAGACAGATGGGTTTAACATTTTCTGTACTTCCCTGCTTGATTCAGATTTTGGGAAAGAAAACTATTCCCTATGAGGCATCACCAGCCACTTAGTGAGTTCAATCATCTCTAATATATATTTTAATGGTGATGTGGAAACTGTAAAAATAAAAAAATAATTAACATTCACCTTGCTAGAGTCTTTGGGAAGACTGTGGAATGGTGACTTGGAAGAGACAAAACCCAGATGCAAAAAAGATCACTATGCGATTTAAGAAATGTGACAAATGTGTCAGAGGTAGTCCATATTCCAGTTTGCCAGGTCTTATGCAGGGGATGTCTATGGTGGGAGGCAAGAGAAGCTGTGAGATGATCAAACTGATGGGAGGTTACTTGATAAATCTGACAGGTTTCCTCTCCAACGGAAGAATAACCATGATGAATAAACTAATGCACCCAATAGGTAAAAGTTAAAGGTGATAAATTATGAGAGAAAATGGAATTCCATAGAAAGAAAGACTACAATGATTGCCATGCATGGTAACAGTATGAGTAGGTTAACACAGATCTGCCCAAACAGAACAGAGAAAGCAATCAGGTTGCAAGATGAATAAAAAATTGAAAATTTACAAACCTGCAAATACGGATCGTAAAACAAGTAAGGAAACAAGGCTGGAGATACTGTAGACATTATTTACTCAAACTACAAACCCCTATTTCAGATCCATGCTGTTACCTAGAATTATATTCAGTGGAGTCATAATAGGGATTTGTAGTTTGAGTAAATAATGTCTGCAGTATGTCCTGCCTTGTTTCCTTACATTTTTTATGATCCCTATATGCAGGTTTTTAAATTCCCAATTTTTTATTTATCTGGTTTCTGGCTTTTTTTAGGCTTAACTATGGCCAAAGGATTACTTGATATGGTAGCTAAACCTTATACATTGTAATGATAATAAACATTGCTAGTAGCTAGCTGATATGGTTCATGATGATTTACTATAGTTATTGACTATTTGATCTCATTAGTTCAAGATGTAAAATGTTAAGCTGCAGCTGGAGATTTTCATAGAGATTTGTTTGAGAATATAGTGACCATTTATAGTTTTCATGCAACTCAATTCTCTATATATAATGCATAGCAATGGACAAATATATGCCTAGACTAAGACAGAACTCCAACTAAGAGCAAAAAAATATTTTACCTTTTCAAATAAAACATATACATTTAAAACATCATTTTAAATAAATCTTCACATCTTTTAAAGTAATTATTTTACAAATGTGTGTTATGAAATTTAATATTATGTGTATTGATTGTTTTTTTACTTTATCATTTCATACATAATATAGGGGTTGGCTCCCAAAGGACACCGATTGTATAGTATACAAAGTATTGAGTATCCACATGTTAGTCATCCATTGTTCCTTTTATTGCCTGGTAATTCATGTTTCACCTTGTACTTAAGCTTTTTAAAAGAATACCAGATATTTGTAAAATAGCCATTTCAAGGGGTAATGATAAAATTTTTTACACTAGAATTATAATGTATTTTAGCTTATGTAAAATACGAAAAAAACAAATCAACTTTTCAATCCCCCGAAAACCTTCACAGTACCTTATTTAGTATTCTACAAAAGGTCTGGGTGCAATATTTTGGTTGTAGGCTGGCATGAGAATAAGAAGAACAATAATTACAAATGGGCAATTTTGAGTGGATTTTCTTATCCTAGTAAGTCTAACATGCACGATTCTTTGTGTATTTTTGTGTGTGTACAGTCTTAGCAGTCCATAGTAAAGGCTTTCAAGTGTTGTTTGAACTGAATCTTTACTGTTGAAAGAACTTTTTGTATGAGCATTCTATTAGGGTTTTTTTGCAATTCCTTGTGATCACTATTATCAATCACTATTGTGGTTCATGATAAGCCCAACTTCTGTTTTCTAAGTAAGGCCTAATGAGCTCTATATAACATAACATGGAGAGATAGCTGTAGTTCACAGGCCCTACCAGTCTAGCAGTGTGCTGCCAAATTCCACCACCATTCAAATCCTTTCACTTGGCAGTAATTCACATGTGATGTAAGCATAAGACAACGAACAAAAGTTTATCCTTCTAATTCTATCCAAATCTTACTTGTAAGTATGATATTTTGGGTAATATTAATGCTATTCTTTTCATCATTATACCAATTTAGTATTATTTATTTATTTTAGTGAAGATAATTTTGTTTGTAAACTTGTTTTGATTCATAAATACAATTGCTTCTGTCTTTCAGTTTCAACTCATAAACAAGTGCCATGTGAGTTAGTAATGTTAATCATCTAATTAGTTTTAACTGCAAGTTTGAGATTGAAAAATGGAAAACTAACATAACAATACATCTGTAATTTAAAGCAGTATATTAGTGTTATTACTTAAACAATCGTTCTGGTAGAAACAACCTTCCTCTATGTTTAGAGGTGAATGTAGACTAATAATACATCAGAAACTGAAAATGATCTAATGGTAAACGTTCAGTGTTCTAGGCCAGAGTCTCTCAAACTGGGGTCTGAGAGGGTACTCTACGAGGTCCATTAGTCATGTCAGAAATTTCATAAAAATATTTTAAAAGAAATATGATCTATAAAATAAAAAAATATTCTTCATAAAATTAGAACTTATATATGAAATAAAATATTTAATTTTGG